TAGTCAAGGACTGAATTAATAATTTCGCTATAGTTAAGGGACCATTTCGGTAATTAACTCTTAGCATTATTATAATTAAACTAGTGTGTGTAAAAAAATGAAACTACAAAATAAAGCTCATACAATAATGTATATTGTCAAATGAAACTATAGTAGAATTAAAATGATACTTTAATATTGCTATAATGAAACTAGTGTGTGTGGAAAATGAAACTAAAAAATAGAACAATATTATCAAATAAAACTAAAGTATAATTAGAATAATACTTATTTTATAGATCACACTACTACAGGGACCATGGTCTAACCAAAATAATAATAATCATGTAGAGCGCAGCACTCTTGAAAAAGAAAACTGACCTAACGGTTGCAAAACTTTGAGGGGAAGTTGGTTTGCTCTAGCCATCATAAAATGAATCAGGCTTCTCAAAAGCTCCAAAGAATCCGCGGAGATCAGGATTTCCCTCTAAATTGATACGAGACATGAATATAAAAAAGAGTTATAACAGGTTCAAAACATTAATAAAAGGTTGTATTATCACCATAATTATGATTATGGACTCTTTCAAAAAAAAATAAATAAATAGATCTGATCTGAGAATAGGCTAAGATTCTCAAATCCTGCACTTCCAAAAACATAGCTGCCTTTAATCAACAAGCAAAAGTTCATTTTACATATTATCATGGTAGATGTCTTAAACTATAGGCCACAAGATAAAAATGAAATTATGATTAAGTGTAGACACCATATATGAATGTAACCATAAACCATAAACCATAAACCAGATAGAGTACAATTATTAAGTATATTAAATTAATTCATACTGGAGGTAATATAATACCCAATATAGTCTTGAATTACTTCTTCTTTCCCAGATCCACGCATAAATGCAAATCTTCGTACTAAAATAATGAGAAATTACGTACCATTAGACCCTATTCTAACACTCAGAATTTTTAACAATAGACTAAATTGTGTAAAATCACTATAGTCGATGACTATATTGCGTATTTTGTTATAATCTTAGTATGAATCCAATCAATTAGTTAGTTTAACTCAGACTTATAAACACATATGTTCTCTCTTATTTTATTAATGTGGACTATTAGCATCTGCTTATAATGCAAATCTTAAAAATTAAGTTCATCATTTCCTTACGTTGGAACTCTAGTATATCTTCTGTTTTTTTTTGAAAGTTACTGGCTCTATTACATTGTAGTATCTGTTCATATACTTTCTCAACCTACTGAAACACAAAGAACCAATAACACCTCCACTGAGGCTCGAACTCATAATCTTCCAAATGGAAGTCCAACCGGGTACCATTAGACCACATAGTCCTGGTTAGTATATCTTCTGTTGAAGTAGCCACAGATCTTCCAATTGAACTCATTCCAATATTTGTTGCCACAGATCTTGACCTACTACCATTAGGATTCACGCCATTCCCAACTTGAGAAGAAAAAAAGTATGGTTAATTGAAAAATATAATGCCATCAGCACACAAGATAACAGATACCATATATTGTGGAAATGCACAAAAGTAACATGAAAATGCATACACTTCTGATGCAGTTAGAATATATATAGCATCTTTAAATTAACTATTAACTATACCACACAACGATGCTGTCAATTATTATAGTGTAAAAACTAAAAACACCTTCCATGCCCCACAGGACTAGCTCAGTTGGCTTGACCTATCACTCTAAAGCATTGCTCCACTCTAGAGAGTCATTAGCAGACAGGCAAGGGGTGGGAATCTAGTGATTGATGGGACGCTCGCAGTTTACCTCCTCCCGCGGATCTTGGACAGGGTTTCTGTGAGTGTAGGATTAGTCTAACTTAAGTTGGAAAACCTAATGTATCAAAAAATAAAAAAAATAAAAAAAATAAAATAAAACACCTTCCATTCTAAAGCCTTACTCCAGTGGCAGTGTGAGTGGGATCCTAGAGGGTTATTAGGAGACCTTGACCGATCACCGCACAAAATGTACAGGCAAGGGGTGAGAACCTAGGGATTGACGAGGCGGCTCGCGATTTACCTCCTCTAGCGGCTCTTGGACAAAGGTTCTGAAGACTTAAGATTAGTCTAGCCTAAGTTGGGAAACTTAATGTATTAAAAAAAAAAAAAAAAAAAAAAAAAAAAAAAAAAAACACCTTCCCATTCTATTAATCATCAAGCTATATTTGACATCTTTTACATTTACGGGGTAATTTCATCTCCTGTAAACTTTCACCTCATAGAACCACGGCCCCTATCAGCACTCAAGTTTATGGTCATCAAATGGCTCACTTCTTCAACTTCTTCAAATGAATCTATTATCATGCATTTCATTCAAAAATTATGAAAGTTACATCTAGGATGTGTTTGGTTGGTGGGTTTTGCTCATAGGAATGAGTATGAAAGTGATTGTTGTTGTTTGGTTGATAGGTTTTTAGAACACTACTATGGGTTTCGAATACCCCATCAATTGAAAAACTCATACCCAAATAACATAAGGGTTTCATTTCCTTATTCATTCTCAAGCACTATTATTAGTAACCATTCACACTCTGTTGGTCCCGATAGAGTTGTAGTGAGAGTCTAGAGGGGGGGTGAATAGACTCTTTTCGTGATTTGCCCTAAAAACGACCTTTCGGTGTTTTGGCGCAGCGGAAATGTTAACTTCGTTTGTTTGCTTTGCACGAGTTTTCGATATAAGAAAACTTTCGGTAAAGATAATGAGGACAATATGATGCAGATATGAAAAGCGAAAGTAAGGAGATAAAGGGACGAGAGATTTTATAGTGGTTCGGCTAACGTTAGAGCCGTCAAAAATGGGTTTTATCCGTCGGGTCGACTCGTCCCGTACCGCCGTAAGTAGGGGACGGGTTCTTCAAATTTTGATCCGCCAGGAGGCGGGCTTTTTAGCCCGTCCCGCCTGGGTCACGGGTCCAAGCGGGGCAGGTCAGGCGGGTCACGGGTTTAGCCCGCGACCGGCTAATACATATATATTTTGTATATATATTTAGTATTTAATACATATTATTTTTTGTGTTATTTTGGTTTGTGTAATTGTGTTAGTGTGTTATAACTTATATGATTATAGATTTATAGGAATACAATACTAGGTAGTGTTACTGTGTTAGTGAAGGATATTGTACAGTGATTTTATTTTTTTTATAAAAAAAATAAATTAACACAGTGAAAAAATTGATTGGCGGGCTAGCCCGCCCGCCAGCGGGCTTTGGCATGGCGGGGCGGGTCGACCACATTCCAAGCCCGCTAAGAGGCGGGCTTTGTAGCCCGTCCCGCACGAGGACGGGCTTTGGTGTGTTTGGCCCGCCCCCCCGCGAGACCGTTTTGACAGCTCTAGCTAACGTTGCCTACTCCACTCTTCTTCCACAACTTATGGAAGGATTGCACTATCACTCGTTAGCACAATTACACAAAGACTTCCTTGATCACTAAGCCGGACAGCCTTCGTAGGTTTTTAAACTCCTCGAGTTTACTCCGCCTATATCAGCTTCTTCTTCCGAGTTGAGGTTGGTAGAAAATAATTTCTGATTTCTCCAACGTGATGAAGTCTTGACTGAGAGGGATGATTGCTTCGTACAAAAGGCAAGGCTTCTTTAAGGTGTAAGATGATGATCAATGACCTTCTTCAAGTATCTTAGCACCTTAACACTGGTTCACAAAAGCTTGAGAGAGCTGAGAGCGTTTAAGAGCTTTTGCATGTATATAGATCGAGTGAATAGAACCAGCACCTTCTTAGTTGATGAAGGTGGGTTTATATAGGTGAGCAAAAATTCATCCGTTAGAAAGAGATGAATTTTTGAACCTATTATCCAGTGGGTAAGGACCGGGGAGCTTCATGCATTAAATGCTCCATTAATGAGGTTGTACCTTGTAGCCGTTGATGGCATGGAGAGCCTTAGGGTTTTGTCCTTTAGCTTCAGGAAATAGTACATCTTCATTTAATGCTCCTTGATATGTGTGTCCCACAAGTTGAGGTCCTTTTTATCCTAGGATGTTGTCAAGTCAGACAAAGGAGACATTCTTCTTGCTATTGGTGAGAAGGGATGTCTCGAAGGATTATCATTTACAAGAATGTCCTTTCGTGTTCAATGACAACTCCTCTTAAACTCTCGTTGAATGTGCTTCATGCTTCGCGTCTTCTTTCGTCTTGATCACCCTAACAACTAAGCATAACTCGTCTTCGTGTGTTTGGCTAACCTAACACGAATTACATCTGAGTTATGGCAACTTTCGTCTAGGACGAAAGCGGCGATTTAAAGAAGTAACGGTTAGGGGTCTACTTTCTAGGTTACATTGGTATCATCAAAATCCTAATACAAGTGTTCCTAACAATTTCCCCTTTTTGATGATGCCAAAACCTATACTCTTCTTATAAAGCTGATAAAAGGTTCCATAACGGATTTTCCATTACAAGTCAGCCTTACTCGAGAGTTTACAAGTCTTTTCTAGATGAAACCATTAATAGGAAAGACAAGGACAAGTAACTCAGACAAGTGACACGAGATGTGTAACAACGAGTACTTTATATATAATGATAAAGATGATTACAAAAACTTTTTAAGATAAACAAAAAGAAGAACAACTTACGAATCTAGAGAGATTGACATTTATGGCTTGGCCTTTTCTCGTTCACGAGCGTCCCTTTCTTCTTGTTGCTTGAGCATTATGTTGGTGTCGATTTCCTTGTTGATTCGTTCTCTGAAGACTTTGATTGGATTTGTCTAGACTAGGTCTTCGTATTTTCCACGAATGTTGAGGCTTATGTAGTTGTTGTAGGCCTCCCGAATGTCTGCTCCTGCAACTACTCCAGCTTTCCACCATGAGATGAGTTCAAAAGAGTTCATTCCTTCTTTGTAGCTCTTTCTAGACTCGGTATGCACTTTGAAAGCTGCATTGTAGATGACACCATCCTCAGAATGTTTGGTTACATTCGTGAGATCTTCAATAAGCTTCTTTACTCTCTCTCTTTCCTTCAGTTCATGCTCTTATCCGGGCTTCTTCTTCATGTTTCTCCCATAGTTCTCTATTTTGACTCTTTATTCTTTCGTTTTGGGTGCTTATGTGATCTTGTCTGGTGTGGTTGTCCCTTGTCTTCAGCCAGGTAGGGACATTGCAACCCTCAAAACGTTTTCCACTACCTTCTTCATAAGGTTTGTATTCAACAAAGTCACTGACTCCATCCATAGTTATTTTTCTGTCCCTCATGAACTTCTGCCTTCGGCTTGCCTTTTCTCTCTTGGAGAGCCCGGCAAATACAAATTTTGATTCAGAGCCATAAGATTGACGAGGCTTGAGAGACTGTGATCTGGATTGAGAATGGCCACGTTTTGAATAATGTCTCGACTGAGAAGGATGGTGACCACGAGATCTGGATAGAGGATTTGTACTTCTTCGCTCATCTTTTCTTGGTGATGGAGATCGTTCTCTCGTGTTCTCCCTCGGATGATCGTCATCCCTATCATCTTCATGATGTCTCTTTTCCCCCTTTTTGGCATCATCGCACATGTGGTAGGAGGAACGTTGGGGAGCTGATTGATTGCATTCAGAATATCTTGGGCATATCCGAGAGTTTGAAGAGCATATTGTCCCAATTGATATGTGTTGTCTTGTGAAGTGTCTATCTTTGAGCAGGCTAAGTCAATAACTCTTTGAGATTGAAATGGGAGTGTTTGAGTTCGTGCTGTTGACGAGCCACTTTGTTGACAGCGGTGTGAAGTTCATGGAGCTCCTTAGCCACGTGCTTGTGAAATTGTTGATCAGGATTAGCTTGCGGTGGAGGTTGAGACGGCTCTGGCGGTGGCGGACGAGGTTAAGCTGGTGCAGCCATCAACTGATCCACTTTCTTGGACAAGTCTTCCAAGACTTTGGTGTCCCTTTGCCTAATGATCAAGTATTATTGATGTATGGTTTCGGCAGCATGGACAGTCTCTCTCATGAGATTCATGACTACTCGTGGAGATACAGGAGGGAGTCTTCTTCAATATTTGTTTGTGGGGTTTCAACTTGGTCTCCTTGAAGTGGGCATCCTTTTTGCCACCACTGCTCGAACTTAGAAGAATTGGGGAGGCTTCCAGTTTATCCTCATGTACAACTGCTTCCTCTCGTTTTATTGGAGTTTCGTTCATGGGCCGAACATGTGGAACGAGAGCTCGAGACAGATCTTCAGGCTGAGTAGTTGAAACGTCTTCATCTTGGTGTGATGCTTCCCTTGTGCCATCACTTTCGGACGGTGATTTCTGAGCTGGAGATCTTTCGGGAACAGTGTCATAAGCAGGACCTACCAAGAGAGGAGATGGACTGTCATACATTAGATTTGCTCCATTGTTACTATCATTGTCATCATCATTATTGTCATCATCATTATTGTCATCATCATTGTCACCGTTCTCGTCGTCTACATCCTCGACATCATCATCTCTGTCTTCGTCTTCTTCATCTTCGTCGTGTCAATCTCTTGGCCTTGATCATCTTTCAAGCCACTGACACTGCAGTTAGGATCATTTTGATGTTCTTTCTCCAGGATGGTTTTGACTTTGGAAATTAACAAGGCATAGCGAACTTCCTTCATCTCTTCCTCAAATGCCGGATCCAAGGGGGGTTTGTTGAGCTCAATGCAAATAAGAGCTTTATCCTTTCCGAGAGTACGATTCGTTATTTTGTAAGAGAACACACGTCTTATCTTTTCAAGACGTAGAGCTTCATTCAGATCCTTGTTTCAAGCCACTCAAGGGCAAACTCTTCTTCATCTTTCATGACTTCAAAAGTTTCAATGAATGTGTTCAAGGGGGCCGTGCGCCATTTTTGCCATTGCAAAACTCGATTGTAGTCATTTTCAATAGACTCACGAAGCAATTGATCCGGAGATGGAGGAATGGGTGCAGCAACTGGTGGTTTTGTTGTGACTTCGGGAACAGGTGTTGATGTCTTTGGAGGGTGATACCAGTGTCAATTGGTTCATTGGCTGTCTCATCTACCAATACAGGTTCTTGTGTCAGATTTGTCGTTGCCTGTTCTGCATTAGTAGGTTCTTGTGGAAGAGACGAGATTTCATCCAATTTAGCAGCCAATTCTTTCGTCTTTTCTGGCAAGCCAGGTTATTGTGGAAGACTTAAGTGACCGGCCTCCATGTCCATAGCAGCAGGTTCTTGTGTCGAACTATGAATGTCTCGCTCTGCTGAAATGGGTTCTTGTGGATGAAGGACTTGTGGAGAACTTTGGCCAAGATTTGGTGCCTGTTGATCAGAGGGTTTTGCAGGAGAAGATTCTTTCGTCTGACCTTCCCCCCGGAAAAGTGCGTCTCTCGTGTGTTCTTCCACCTGAGAGGATGCTTCTCTCGGTGTTTTGTCTACATTCGGGGAAGAAGATGCACCAAGCTTCGGTCTCACAGGAGAGCGAAAATGTCCTTCTCTGTGGGAGATTTTGGAGAGATGGAAGTGGGTGTGAATGTACTGATTGCTTACTCTTTTGACTTAATCCGAGAGGAGCGTTTCTCTTTCTTTTGTCTTTTCGGCTTTGGTTGGTCATCTTCTGATCCTTTCGGTGTCCTTGACTTTCGTTTGGATTTAACCACTTCTAAAGGAATATTCAGCTCCAAAGCTTTCTGCTTGTCATAACCAGAGGGTTTCTGCTTCATGTGGCAGGCTTTTTGTCCTGGTCGGATCCCTGGTTTCATGAGAATATTCTTTGTGACAAGTAAATGACTAACCAAAAATCCGTAGCCTAGTTTCTTTGTGATATCACCGGGGCTTTTTCTGTATAGTCCGGTCTCTGTAAGCAGATTAATGATATCTTTCTCCAAACCTTCGATCAAGAACATACTCGAGGAACCCATGAGTGTCCCACATGCTTCCTCCGACTATGAGTGGTGCCCTAGATTCGATGAACTGTATATCTTCCGTTGGGAAGGAAGGAATATCCAAACAGGCTGGGGTTTCTGGTTCTTCATTCGAGAGGGTATCTTGGATTTTATCCGCCATTGAGGTGTTGAGGGATACAGATATGACACTTTGATTTTGAGATCAATAATAAGTGAAAGATGAGAAGTATGGAGAGTAGGGGTTTTTGTAGGTTTCCATTTGTTACCGGGTACTCAAATACGAGTCAGCCCGATTTTGGGGTGGGTGATTTGAATTTTAAATATTCAACCAGTTTCACTCCCTCAAAAGGTAACTGATCAGCTTATGGGAAAGTGATAAGATCATGCTCAGATCAGTTTTGATCATTCCATATTAAATGAGGAGAGAAAATTCCACTCAAGTGCCTATACGGGCAATTAATGCCCATCACATCATCTGTCAGCCGTGTGGGTAGTGGGCTGATAGGAATATTTTTGTATGTTTTGATGAGCCAAATGTACTTTAGATCCCCTCAGTTTTTGAGTCTTTAGTACAAGCATCATAAATCAGAATAATAAAATCAGAAGGAATCTACCACAGGAAGAACAAAATTAATTGAGAAATTAATTTTGGTCCTTCAAGTATTCATCCATGAAAGAGCATAAAGCAATAATGTTGCAAGGAATGACCGGATGAGCCTAACGGCGAAATGGTAGAGTCCTTACTCAAAACGATCATACCCGAGATCGATTTCCCCAAAGGACCTATATTTTTATAAGGCAGATTTCGCAAAAGAGAACAATGTGTGCTAAGGAGCATGATGTGCTGAAAAGAGCACAATGTGTGCTAAGGAGCATGATGTGCTGAAAAAAGCACAATGTGTGCTAAGGAGCATGATGTACTCAAAAGAGCACAATGTATACTAAAGGAGCACGATGCGTCCAAAGGAGAACGATGTGTCCTAAAGAAGCACGATGCGTCCAAAGAGCACGATGTGTCCAAAAGAAGCACGATGCGTCCAAAGGAGCACGATGTGTCCAAAGGAGCACGATGTGTCCAAAAGAAGCACGATGCGTCCAAAGGAGCACGATGTGTCCAAAAGAAGCACAATGTCTACCAAAGAAGCACGATGTGAACAAATCTGAAAGGAGCACAATGCCACCTAAGGAGCACAATGTCTTCAAAGAGCACAATGTCATAAAAGAAGCACAATGTATTGAAAGAAGCACAATGCTCAAAGTCAAGGAGCACAATGTTCAAGTCAAAGGAGCACAATGTGGCAAAAGAGCAAGATGGTCAGAAAATTGATAAATTCGAAGGAATTTATTCTAAGTCCACCCACATGCCACAAGACTCCAAAATTGCCTGAAAGACATTTGATCAGAACGGAAAAATATTTATGAAGGCATGAATATAAAAACTTATCCTAGAAATAAATTCTATCAGATGAATTTATTTCAAAGATTCGTTGAAATTCAAATTGACAATTAAAGTAATATTTTTTAGAGACAACTAGAAAATCAAAGTTGTGCTAAAAATTTACTTTGTCAGGCAAGTTGACAAATCAAATCAAAATTGAAGATCTACTACTGTCAACAATATCAGGCTATGAAGATTCAAATTTCAAATATCAAATTATCCCACTCCAACGGATATATTTGATTGACTATAAAAAGCCATGAAGACTATGAAGACAAACAGGAGGTGAATACGGAGAACAGAGATAGAAGTGCAATACACACCAAAATTCAAAAGTGCTAGTGCTCAAATATTCTAAGAGACTTAGTCTGAATAGTCTCTAATCTAGTTGGAGAGAGAAATACAAATCCTTGTATTTGTAAGTTGTAGAAAAGAGTATAGCTGTGTGCAAAATACTCTAGTGAGTGTAGCTGTGTGCAAAACACTCGTGGAGCTAAGTGTAGCTGTGCAAGACACTTAGTTGGCGTTGAGTATAGCTGTGTGCGAAATACTCGGAGTTGAGTGTAGCTGTGCGAGACACTCGGAGTTGGGTGTAGCTGTGTGCAAGACATCCGGAAGAAGTGCTTGTGTAGCACTTGTTCACTATTGTAACTGTGTGTGGAAAATAGTGAATTTCTCCTAGACGTGAAGGAGAAAAGTGGACTAGGAAGATTACGCCACTTCCGAACCACTATAAATTGCCTCTCTCATTTACATACCGCACTTACTTTATTTGCTATATCTATCTATCTCATCTGACTAACCCGTTTACTATTCACAGTTAATTTTTATC